TCAAAACTGAAAATGAGCCGAGCGTTTTCAATTGATTTTTGATGAAAAAACTTCTGTCAAAGTGAAAACAGTCAATGCTGGTCACTGAAATCAACGCAAAAGAAGTGAAATAAAATCAAAATAACAGAATCATTCGATGAACAACTCAATGAAATTAATAGAAGCAAACGATTTGAGACTTGAAAGATACTGTGTAAGACTGGACGTATTTGATCAGGTACACTTGCTTAGCAAGCAACAAGAACGGACAAGTTCAGCACTCGTTCGACTTGAGCATCATCAACAGTTCTGTACCGTTGATCATCGACAGTCCGCAGTCGAGATCCGTAACACCGGGTCAATCCGTCACACTTGTATGCCGTGCCAGTGGTCAACCACCTCCGAAGATCACATGGACGTTTGATGGCCATCCGCTCGACGCCACCGACCCACACGTTACGGTTCGTTCATCTGCCCTCCATAATTTCCACTCAAATGCCACCCACCTATTTTAACAAATGCTCCGTCGTCGTTCATGTTAAATATAAGTATGGTAGTAAACTTGCATCTTGTATCAGAGCAGTCATCATCGCATGCTAAAATTTTGTTTGATACTACGGAAACGTTTCGTTCAGCTGGTCCGATTTGACACCGAGCTGACGATTCGCCATGTCACTCGTGAAGATGAAGGCACCTATAACTGCAGGGCAAGTAGCCCACTTGGATATGATTCAGCCGAAGCAAAACTCAAAGTGAGGATACCAAATAAGGAATTATTGGACAGTTCACTGAATGAAGATATTCTTCGAACAATCGTTCAGCAGGCACGAACAAGCGTTGATAGGTAAGCTCTGCCTAAGTAATCTCGATTTTTCCAAGTCGTTTTGTTATTCACCTAATTTCGCTTCGCTGACCTTATTTCACAAATGTTTATTCATTGGTTTGTTCAGAGCAATTAATGATTCGAAAAAATCATTTGGTCATGATACAACATCTCCTTGGGAATTCATGAAGCAGTTCAAATTCAATGTACCGCAGAATGTCGAACTGACAAAAGCTCGAGAAATTTACGAGCAAAGTTTGTTACTTGTGCAAGATCACGTGCGTAATGGTTAGTTTTCATTTCGCATAAATCTGCTGTTCAAGAGCGATTTACACTCACGAAAAACAGTCACAGTTGCGAAAATTTCGAAGTTTTTTGAATCGGCAACTTTTCGGGCAACCGTTAAGGACTAAAAACTGTTAGCATAGTGTTAGCTGGAATTTGTTCGCTGTGTGCTGAAACGAGGGAATGCAAAAATTGCTAACAATCATATCCCT